CCTCCATGATTCTCTTTATGATATCATTATCTGGGACTCTCCAGCTTGCTCCTTGTGTCCCAGCCATACCAAGTGACTTGTGTCCCAGCCATACCAAGTGACTTGCCGCCCCCAGCAAGTTTTCGTCACTCTGGCCTTCTTGCTTCTAACCTATCCCTGTGCACCCTCTCTCTCTTTTTCTAATATTTTATTTATTTACTTTTAGCAAGAGGGGAAAGGAGAAAAAAGAGGGAGAGAAAGAGCAACATGCAAGAGATACATAGATCAGTTGGATCAGTTGCCTCTCGCATGCTACCAACTGGGGACAGCCTGAAACCCAGGCATGTACCCTGACTGGGAATCGAACTGGTGACCTTTTGGTTCACAGGCTGGTGCTCAGTCTACTGAGCCACCCCTGCCAGGCCTCTGTATTCTTGCTTAGAACATTTGCACTGGCTGCTACCTGTGTCTGGAACTCTCTTCCCCCAGATATTTGCATGGCTAATTTTTTCACCTCCTTCAAGATTACCCAGATGTTACCTTCTCACTGAGGTTTACCCTTGCCACCCTATTTAAATTTGCACACTGATTGTACATTTTACCTATTCTGCTCATCATTTATTGTCCGTGCCTCACTGTCCTACCACTCCACCCCATATCCCTCTCTCTAACATGCAAGTTCCAGAAAGAAGGGAATTATTTTGTTTTATTAAGGTCATCAATATATTCTAACTACCTAATACAGTGCCTGAGAAATAGTAGGCACTTAACAAATTTTTGTTGAATAAATTGAATGCATAGATGTACATGTTATTTTACATTTCTCTTTTCACAGGTTCTTCCCTATGTCTGAAACATCTTAATCCATTCTAGTCCCCCTTGTATTGATACTTTTTTACTTCAAACATTTCTTGATTACCTATTGGTTTCCCCAACTTCTTGAGTCAGGGGAAACACATCTTGTGTTACCTTTCTATGTCTAACTCTGAATACATATCAGAAAAGAAGAGGCAACTCAACTGACCTGAATAATGTTATATTTCAAGGAACTGGCTTAAATCCATAGATCATATACAAACTGATCAAATTACGCAGAAGAGCTTGTTCTAGAGCCATCAATGACTTTTGCTCAATAAGCCCTTTCACTTAACACAGAAGACACTGGTTTATCAAACTAGATAGCAAGTAAAGGCAGGTACTAATTTTTGCAAATTCTATTTTGCCAGGATTTCAGAAAATTCAATTTGGTCTTGAATGGCTAGTCTCAGACCAGGTGCTGAGTGCGCTCTGATTTTTTTAGAATTGGGAAATACTCCCTGACTAGAAATAAGTTAAGAGAAGTGGGGAGTAGAATCACTATTACTGACTAGAATAGAGTATTACCTACATAGAGTAAATAACAGAATCACTATTATTTACTCTATGTAGGACACTGCGCCGGTGATTTTACATATGTTAACTCTTATCCTCACAACAAATTTGTGAAGCAATATGATGCCTATATTTTACAGATGAGGAAGCTGAGGCTCAGTGAATTAAGTAACTGTTTAAGGTCACACAACAGTACGGGGCATGACTGCAATTTGACCCACATTCCCTGTGGAACAAGGTCCAGCCCTTTCCCCGGCACTGGGTTGCCTCCCCACCCACAGAGTGAAGTTGTCCTTTCAGAACCATCTTCCCATACATCAGGAACTCACCCACCTGTTTTATCATCTTTGCATCTGTGGTGTTTGGTTTTTTATGACTCTAAACACAGTGTGGAAGGTTTCCTACATTGTGCTCATTCTTTCAGGGTTCAGACCCTATGAAAGTATAGAGTCTAATAAAATTTAATGCTGGCTTGCAAACACCACAAAGTAGAACACAGAAACCAATCAAATCGCAGACCCACTTGGAAGAGGCACCCCTTTCAAAGGAGCTACCTGAAAAATCCCACCCACGCCTTTCACGCGTGGACTGCTTGGCCAGCACCCAGGCACTTCGCCTGACCTGATTTGACCATGAAGGGCAGATTTATAAACCTGGAACTTTTTCATGTCCTGCTCAAGGATTTCTAATTTCTTAGGCAAAAACAAAAGCAAGTAAAAACAAGAGAGGAAGCTGTCAGGGAAGGTGGGAGGAGTACAGGAGAGGCAGTTCATTGCAATTACATTTTGAACAGCCAGAGCACATGCTATGCCTTCTCTCAGGACTAAACAAAGAACAGTCAGTGAAAAGAGCCCTTTAAGGAGGATTGTTATGGACAACTTGCCAAAGCACTGAGAAGTCTGTTCCAAAGAAAAACTGGGTTTGGTTCTGTTACAGTCAACTACTGTCATGACCGGGGACATGAAGGGCAGAGGAGTAAGGAGCTGTCACAGAGCAAGAGACCATATTCACCAATGATTACTCAATTCGTTGACTTAATTCCAGCCAGGAAAAGCATCAGTAAAAACATTTAATCATTGAAAAGTTCAGCTGAGTAAAAACATAAAGATGACAATTATGTAACCTCCAAGGTCAAAAGTGGAAAATGCATGCTCTGGGGAAGGCCGAAGACATTTCCAGAAGCATCACCTCTAGGATGAACTGGTTACTGCAAAGACTAGGGTGAGCAGAATTCAGCCTGCAACCAGAGAGCAATCAATCTGCTGGTCCACTGCTTATGTTGATAGTCTCTTGTTGGATGTTCCGTCATTTGTCTCTGTCACGAGTGAACTTGGGAATAAGATGTGCATCATTCAATTTTATGGCTGGGAGAGACTTTAGACATTGACCTCACCTACCCCCTCACTTTTCTGATAAAGCTTCTCAGGCATAGATAGATTTAGGAAATTCAACTTTTCCACTTTAATGAGAACATAAAGTCCAGTAACAGCAAACACATTCTGGACTTTTCAGGGTAGGGGTGAATTTGCATACCCTGCCTCGTTGGCCCCATTAGTATACCTGCATTTGTCAGAGCATGTGTTCCAAGTTGAGATTTGCAAAAATATGATCACCTTATGGCTCCGAAAATAGGGTTGGAAAAAATAAAATGTTCAGAAAATCTGGTTCAGCTTGTGCTTTCACACTGAGGTACACAAACTGGTGAAGGGAAGAGAACAGAAACATATTCTACTCCTCTTCTCATTTTTTAAGCTTTCATGGAAATATGTGTTTGGAGGGAAACTGCAAACACATGGAGCTATTGTCAGCTATTGATAAAGGTAACAATAGGGAGGAATACAGACAGTTAAGGGAGGAATGAAGTACTTATACATGGAACTGAGTGTATTAGAATTTAGCAGGTCCATAGAACTAATTTTCATGAATTTTAGCAGCTTAAGAATGCTCTGCTCAAAACTCATCTAAATACATTAGGCCCATGCAGCTAACCTGGTAGGAGACAGAGCATGAGAGATGCTGGCAAGGACGAAAGCAACAAGGTAAAGGATACTGCTGCCCAAGGAGCCAGGTGGCTGTCAGACAGAAGGGATCTGTGATAGCAAGAACAGACCCCAAGAGGGCGGGGTGTGGGGTGAGCTGCCGGGCACTCTCCTTCCTCCCAGAATCTGCTCCTTCTGTCCAGCGTGGGAGAGAGCTCCTCAGAACGTCTAGAGTCAAAGAGCAGCAGCCAGTTAGCTAGCAAAGCAGGTTGGGAGAAGAAAGTGGGAAGGAGGCCTCTTTGTGTAAGGAAAGTAAAATCCACAATAAACCCAGGAAAAGTTAGAGAACAGAAGAGTGAGCCTTTGTCTTAGGCACAGCTCTTTGTTTACACTGAAAATAGAAATGTGAAAACTAAATTGCTGGCAGCTGCCTATTTTCTTTTCTTCTTCCTTCCTTCACATAGCGCATAACTATGCAAACACCCGGGCTCTAAAAGGACATTAAATATTAGCTAGTGGAGTCTTTTAACATACAGGAGCAATCCAGAAGTGTTTACACAAGGCACCTGAAAACCTCCTAAATTCTAAAAGCATTGCAAATCTAATATTCCCCAGTTACAGAAAATAATCAGAACCTCTAAACATTTCCCAAGCTAGATAATAAAGCATTATGGGATCCTAAAATTTAAGCAGTAACTTGGGGAAGTTTTTACATGTTATTGGCACTTTTCTTTTTTAGCATAGACATTGTAAGAGACAATGTTTTATAACTAGTTAAGAAAGTGTCTTTTTCTCTCGGCATTAACTTTCTCTTTCCATTTTGCACAATAAAAAGGGGTGTGTGTTAATAAACCCTATTCAGACAGTGAGCTTGCTCCCCACATGTACCCCTGTTGTACCTTTCATTCACAGAGCTGTTATCTTTGTCTTGTACTTAGTGACCTTTTCTTAAAAGAAGTAGACATTGCCTCCTCCACTTTACAGAAAACAATGAGAACTGCACCACAGGAATGGCAATAAAGAGATTGAGAAGAGACTGAAGTTCAAGTGCTAGTAAATTGAGGCCACATATTGAAATATTGCCCGCGTGTCACTCACTTATCCCCTGACCCATATTCATCTTCCAATTAGGGCAACTGAGCACCTTGCTGATTTACTTCCTATATTCTTTTGTATTTCTCTTTCTGGTTAGAGGCTCAGAACAAGGGCAAGAAAAATTATGACTCTTCTGATTGCATGTGTGTGCTGCTGTTGTTTTAGACAAAAATGATCGTTTTTGTATATACACCTCTCCCCAATAACTAGATTATTAACTATTGTTAACTCCTTGAAAAGCAACTTCACGTGCTTATATCTTCAAAACCCAAGGAGAAAAGCAAAATGCCTACCACAGAGTAGAAAATGATGGATTTCTTTTTTTAAAAAATCAATAAATGAATGAATGCATCTGATTGAACCTGTTTGGAGGCCTTACCTAGTACCAATGGATTCCAAGAAACCATGTTCCATGTGGCAACTCAGCGTGCTATTGTTTGCTTTGGGACATAGTCTGTTTTTCACACTATGGGTATAGACTGAAATATAAACAGGAATATTTCACTTCCTCTGTGTATTTTGGGTTCTGACCATTCAACATGTATTATGTCAGCCGTTTCTTTCTGATCTCTCCAGGACAGAACACTGTTCCACCCTGTGAGCAACAGCTGCATGGATTGCAACCCTGCAGAGAAGAAGATTTTCATGGCCAGATGTGACCCTCTATCTGAGACTCAGCAGTGGATTTTTGAACATATCAATACAACTGTTTTAGAAAAATTTAACCATCATGCCAGCTCCTAGAAAGAAAGAAGAAAAAAAAAGAGTGATTACCTACAGATTCTAAAAGCTGAATTTTTGCCAGCATCCGGGTCCGAGGAGTCAGGAATATCATTTCCTAGATCTAGGAAGCCTGGTTTCAAGTTTTGTAAATGCCGCATCCAAGTAGGTTGTCCTGGAGCACTTCCTGTATCGGAAGAACTTGGCTGAGAACCTCACCAGCTGCTTCTGAGCACTTGAGACTAGCAGTTCCCTTGCTGGCCAAGGGCGAGGATTATTTAGGGACTTTTCAAAACAACTGCTGAGTTATTAAATCCTAGCATTTCTCAGGTCAAACCCTGCAGTAGTGAGTAGCTATGAATGGATCCTGTCATTCGGGTGGGAGGGGGGTGGAAATAGAGTGCATGATGGCTCTGACAACCTGAAGATACCGCGGTGTAGGACTAGCCACGCTGAAGGGGTGAGCTGTACTCTTTGGTGCCATTCTCCAACTAAGAATGGGTTAAGCAGGTTTAACCCTTAAAAGTGCTGCAGATGATTTTAGAGTGCTCACACCATTCTCTTTTCTTGTTTTGTTTCATTTAGTTTTTTAATGAAGGTGTGCTATATAATACAAGACTTAAATTACACCATGGAATGAACTTCCAGTGTTTCTATTCTTGCATTGCCCATTTTCCTTTTAGAGCAGAAGTAAGTTATTGTTTATAAGAAGTCATGCTCCATCAATCAGCTGAAGTTCTCATTCAGTGCCCTTGTATGACTCCAGTTTAAAAGCAAGAAAAAGAGCACTATGCTTCCAAGTTACTCCAAAGAAAAAGATTTCCCAGAAGCAGCAAAACCATGTAAGACTTTAGGAGAGGGATTTCCTTAGGAAAGCTATTTTTACTTTTCTATTATTTTTTAGAATTTTAAAAGTCTGATGTTTGTCCAGTTATAATTTTTATTAAGGAAGGAAAGGGAGTGAGATTGATGTAATTTATTTAAGGAGATTCTTAAACCCAAATAAATCTACACTCCAAGCAATGTGTGAAAATGTCTTAGTTCACTTCAGTTCTGTTTGATCAGTCCTTGAGACATAGAAGTGTTTTATTTGTATGGTTTTAGACTTTTTTGCATTATAGCATTGATACTAATGATGTTTTTGTTTTACTTGGAAGTGTGCAGGAGGAATTTCCATTAATAGTGCATCTGACGCCATTTTCTGTAAATGAGACAATATTTCAGGGGGAAAGAAAGAAATGATTAAAAAAACTAAATGGGACATTTCATCTTAAAATAATTTTTATTTCGCTTTTTAACAATAATGGAAATGAGAGATGAATGTATAGGAATCAAGATGGCTCTTTAGAGGCAAAAATCGTGTTTATTATACATTTCTCAAGTTTTTTCAGGTAGAAAGAGGTTTTTATTTTACCTTCATTGTTTTCTTTGACTTTGGTTTTCTTGTTGATAAAAATGTGTACATTGTCTTGGATCTAGAGGATGCATATCATGGATATATGAATTCTAGAATTGTTTTTACAGATGAATAACAAAAACCCAGAGAGGGTGGTCCTCTCTCCTGGCAGGGGAGGTGGGTCTTCTGACCCCACTCCCGTGCTCTTTCTCCTGTTTTGTGTTGCCTTACTCCGTGGCCCGAGGTGGTTCTGATTATTACTCTGATTTGACCTGCAGTTTTCAGTTGTTAGATGAAATACCATGCCTCCCTGGGGACGCCTTCATGTTCAGAAACTTTAATATATGGAAACTCTCCCTGTAAATATTCGTGGTTTTGTCCTCTCCTTAAAATCTAATCAAAATGTCCAGTTGAACTGCCCTGCTAATAGTTGGGGAAGAGCTATTTTGTTATCTTGACTGATTTTTCAAGCATTCTTTTGAAGAACTCTTCTCTTTAAACTGACAGTCACAGTTTTGGGGTGGTTTTTTTTTTTTTTGAGTCAGTCAAGAGATCTTGAACTTTTCAAGATGCATAGTAGAGAAAATCAATAGTACGAAATTAACCTGTGTGTTGTGCAGTTCCGGAGACGGGGTAAAGCTTTACCACAAGTGTTCAGAGAGCGATCTGGTCCTAGAAGTAGATGAGCCTATAAAAATCCACATTATATCATTAAACAGTTGACTGCTATTTACACTTCCACCCAAGAGCCAGCCTTGGGCTCTGCACCCTAGACGGCCGTATGTTACGATGCTCTCATCGCTGGAAGCCAACCACACATGTTCGGTGCTGTCTTTGGAGAAAGCCCGGGTGCTACACATTTTACTGTAACCCCCAGGATCAACAAAAATTGGTGTCCTGATTTCAGAGGGGCTATCTCTTGGATTTAATCTCAGAGTCAAAGGATGTAAAGTAACAAAATTAAGAAAACAGCTGGAGAGGAGCATAAGATAATCAAAGCCAAAATCAAAACTTTGAACTGCCAACTGCCAAGAAATTGTTCAATGTTTGCAAATGGGGACCATCCCAATAGAATAAAATGAGACCAAAAGAATCTACCCAAAAGCTGAAGAGCAAGGCACTGCCAATAAGCACATTTCAGGAGAAATTTCCCATACTACCAAAGGTCGGGGCTCTGCTTACTTGAATTACCACTATTGCCATTCTGAAAAGTAAAAAATTTCATGTGTTGGTATATTGATTTGGCAATGAGGACCGAACAGTTTTCAGAAAGATTCTCTTTCCTAGAAATAACGTGATTCAGTGTTGAACAGTACAAGACTGACCAACCCTTTTATCGAAATGGGAGGAAAGATATAAAGTTAATCTGGCTTCAGAAAATGCTACTTCCCCAAAAGAAGAAATGGCCTGTCAGAAGTTAGAAAACAGTTCATTTTAAAAATCCTTTTTATGTGTTTACTGAGAAATGCCTGTGCTGATAGCAGTTGTGGACTAATTGTGGGATTTATATTCTGTTCCAAGGCTGGATTAGTACCATGGCAATAACGATGTACTGGCATCTATGTTACTTTAGTTAGTTAAAAATATTAATATGATCACTGACTGTTTTTAAATGTATTCAGTATACAGAGGCCTCAGTGAATAATGCAAGTTGCAGGAATATTTTACAAATTGATGACATATAACTTTATATAATAAATGCAAAACATATTAAAAATGGGTTTATAGTCAATGAAGGAGAATGTTAGTCCCATTCTGTTCATGTTCTGGCAAAACATAAAACCAATGCCAACACCTGACACCATTTTTTTAGGGGCAATTATATGTTTTATTTTGTACACAAAAACAGCCAAAAAGTAAATAAAGATCATATAAATAGCTATCTTGTGATTCTTGCCCTCACATGAAAAACATTTTGTAATCCAGCCCTGGCTGGTGTAGCTCAGTGGATTGAGCACGGGCCTGCAAACCAGACAATTTCGGTTTGATTCCCAGTAAGGGCAGATGCCTGGGTTGCAGGCCGGTTCACTGCAGGCCAGCTCCCAGCAGGGGACACATGAACGGCAACCATACATTGATGTTTCTCTCCCTCTCTCCTTCCCTTCCTCTCTAAAGATAAATAAATAAAATCTTATAAAAAACATTTTTAATCCTTTTATAACTATCTCCATAAGGATAGCAAAAATGAATATTTTGTTGGAAAGACCAGCACTATTAAAGTTTATGTCAGACCTATCAAAGGAGCCAATGACACTTTGATTATGAAGCCCACAATCCAGTCATGGAAGACCACACCCACCACTGTATGACATTTCTTGCCCAGGACTTTGCACACCTGATGACCAGAACAGAATTAATGGCAAGACTTTGACATACCTGCAGCTTTTGACTTCCCATCTAAAGTGTTACAGTATCTTTCCCAGCGATGGACACTTCTGGTCTCCAAATGCTACCAAGTTATGTTATTTGGAATTTAAAACCATTCTGATAATACTATGTGATTATTATAAACCTTGGTTTATACCTGGGAAATTGTTTAGGAAGGCTGCAGTAAGCTTTCATAAACAGGTGCCTGAGATAAGGAAATAACACATGGAAATAAGACATTTTATGTACCTCTTGAGAAGGAAGACCTCCAAGGGAAAGTACATTTAACTGATCCCTATGATTCTGGGAGTAGATATAAATGGTGAGAGGTAAATTGTATTTTAGACATGAGTGCACATAATCTTCTCCATTCAGCTCATTGACAAGCTCTACCCTTGCCACCATAACTCTCAGATGACACTGCTGACTGTAATTACTGTCCATGTGTGAAACCGTGGCGAGAACACTGAAGCGTGACAAGTGGCCAGTCTTCCCCACACTGCGGACATTGGAAGATTGCTCTTTGATTTATGTCCGTAGCCTTTGCTTGCAGAACTGGGAGCTGTTTGCAGCTCTATTTGGTAGACTTGACATTGGCCTGAAGCTTTTATTCGCAGTCACTCATCTCCCCATTTGACGCACAGGCTGGTGTGTCTGGTACTGTGGCTTCTCGGCAGAAAACAGCTGAGGCACATGGTACTTCGGAGAAGCCTGGGGGCATTTCTCCTGTCCTTCCTGCCTGAGGTTTCCCCCTACAGCTCACCCCAAAATAGCTTCCCAAGGTTTCCACAGTCTGCCCCTCTCCCCATTTGCTCAGCCCCGTAGTGATGTTTCCCACCTCGGTACAGAAAGGCCGGCTACATTTCATAATCGTATTGTAGGTGATTTTGTTCTGGCCTTTTACTCACCTTGGGGAGGGCTGTTTAGAACTAAGTGAAATAGGTCCTGGTGTACCAAGGACATTCCTGCTTTGTCCTCTGTAATTATTAATACCATATTTTTGCCATGTACAATGCACACCCACATTTTGTGTGCATTATACAGGGGGTCATCATGTAATCATTACTCCCATGTACAATGAGCATCTTTATTTTTCCCTCAAAAATTTGGACAAAAAAGTGCACATTGTACACAGCAAATATGGTAGTGCCCCATTTTACTCTTAAAAATGTCCTAGTTTGGACAGGAGATTATACGGTTGCTCTATCTATAATGCACCAGCCTGCTACTTCACAGTTCCTCTAGGGAAAGTTAAAATGTC